GAGAGAGTCCGCTATGTCGTTTTCCGCACCAGGAACGTGAATGACACGTAGATCTACTTTGTGTCTGGTTAGCCACTAACACATTTCCCAAGTCAGGTAGCACAGCTGGGGTGACCTTGTACCGCCCCATTTGTTAATATATGCTACCACTGTCGTGTAGTCGGTCTTGATTAAAACAGACCGGCCCACTGCGTCTGCTTGAAAGTGGTGTAAGGCGTTGACTGCAGCCTAAAGCTATAGAACATTGATATGTAGGGGGGAGGGGAGGCTCCCCAGCCCTCGTTGGAAGCGTCAGTGGAGATTATGGCGTGAGGATCCCCTCTGGGGAAACTCCATCTGCACCGAATGTTCTGTTCCAATGGCCACCACCGAAGGTGTGGCCAAATGACTTCGTCGATCGAGATTACTAGAGAGATTGGATCTGTCTCGGGTCAGTCATGTGCCAGAAGATGCATTTGCAAAGGACGCATCCTAAATCCGCACCAGGGGACCAGGTCCACTTAGCTGGCCATGATCCCTAGAAGTTTCAGCCAAGCTTGCGCTGGGGCGACTTGAACAGATAGGAAAAGTTTGACGCACTTCCGCAGGCTGGTAACGCGTTCCCCTGTGGGGACGGCTATGCCCCTGCGTAGATTGATCTCTGTTCCCAGAAAAGCGATTTCCTGGGACGGGATTAGTTGGGACTTCTTCTCGTTGATGATGAAGCCTAGCCTCGTTGTCAACGTATAAGTATCTCTCAAATTTTGAGCAGTTTCGTCTTTTGATTTTCCCACTATCAGTCAGTCATCGAGATCCATAAAAATCATTGTTTTCTCGACGAAGACATGATGCAACTGCCCGCACAACCCTGGTAAACACTCTTGACGAGGTTGATAACCCGAAGGGAAGGGCAGTGAATTCGTAAGTGCGCTCCTGAAACCGGAAACGTAGGAATCAGGAGTGCTCTTGGAAGATGGGGACATGTAGGTATGCGTCTTTCAGGTCTAAAGACGTCCCCCACGCTGGCGTGGGCAATGACTCTAGAACTACATGGAGTGTTTCCATTTGGAAACGCTTGGGTCTGACAAACCTATTGAGCAGTTTAAGCCAGCCACCTTCTTTGGTGTTAGAAAGAAGGACAGGAAGCCTATGAATTGTTCCATTGGTGGTACCAAGCGGACTGCTCTCTTCTCGATAAGGGATGATATCTCTTGTTCGAGAGCTAATCCTTTGTCTGTGTTTGTCGGAACCAGTGTTTCGCGAACACATATTTCCGACCAAGGGGTGCTTGTAGATTCTAGTTGATAGCCGTGGCTGACTATAGAAAGCACCCTTGCGTCGCAGGTGATCTCTCTCCAGAATTTCTGAGACGACCCCCAACGAGCCTGAGTGTGGGGGTCGGCTCCGTGGGGGAGTCACCGCCGCCAACCGAGGCGGGGGGCCAATGGCCCATCGCCATGTCCCCGGCCGCTAGTTTGTACATACTGGTGCGCAGGGGCAGAGTAGGGCATGGAGCTGAAACCATTGCACCAGCTGATGCCTTGGCCGTCTGTTGGCGAAAGAGCTTGAATGGTTTCTTAGGGGAAGGGCGAAACGAGGGAGCACCTCTCGTTGCCTTCTTGCCAGATAACTTGGGCTTGTTAGTAGCTGAAGGCTTCTTCAAGCTCAGTTTGTCCGCTGTTTTGATTCATTTGGCTTCAACTTCCAGAATCTCCTGGAATTTGCCTCCGAAAAGGTCTTTGCCCATAAGAGGAAGGTCTTCTAACTTCTTCTTAGTGCCTTCGTGCGGTATGTAAAGTGCCTAATTGGGGGAGGAGGCAAGTCGGTCACCACGAGTCCTGCCCATTCCGCACGGGTGGAAGCAGGGAGCTCGGAGCGCAATGAACGCGCAGACGGGGCCGGTGAGGATTCAATCCTTTTACCACTCCGTGACTGGTCGTCCCCGAGGGTTGCTGGAGCCAGCAGACCGGGGGGACGAGGCGAAGAAATTCCTGTGAAACTACGGGAAATCGACGCCAGGTGACGCCGATGGTCCAGAGATCGGTGGCGTGATCGAGCGACTAGTGGTCCCTTTTTGGGTCTTACCCTAGGGAACGCTGGTGGCCTTTGATGCGGCCTTTTTAACCGCGGGACCCTTACGGCTGGTCGCCTGGGGGGCCGTGGTTACACGGGGGGTTTTATCACCGGTATCCTCACAGTGTTCCATACCGTAGGATGTATGTTTGATGCCAGTCAAAACGCGTAACACGGGATGACCGTAACAACTATGGCGATGTCCCTGCGTGGGAGACTCACTGCTATCTTGTCTTTTCGTACTATTGTACTACTGAGATAAATGCAGTTGAGAACGGCCAAGGAGAAGGGAACGACTGCTGGTCGCTGTACCCCACGGAATTTCTCTTTACACGCCAGGCGAGGTGGCCGAGGGAAGGGAACGGCCAGCGGCCGATATGCCCACGAATATCTCGCCGCTATCTCATTTGTCGCCGCACTACCGAGATAGCTTAGGACGGCCGAGGGGCAGGGAACGACCTCTGTCGATATACCAAACAAAACGTCCTCTTCTAGCTCCCCGAGCTAGCTGAAACGGTCAGGGGGGGGGGGGGGGAAGGGAACGACCTCTGTCGATATACCCCCACTGTACTCGTCTCGCTAGGCCCTAGCTCACCGCGAGCTTAGGGGAAACGAACGGAGAACAGGGAACGGCCAAAACCGCTGTATTCTTCTGTCCCTTACTCTATGGTCTGGAGTGACTCGCACGTACTGTCAAAAATGCTTGGAAGTAACCAACAACATTTGACATTCAGTCCGCCGAAACATTACATAAAATAGCCGCTGAGACAATACATGAAACAGTAGTTAATGCCTGTAGATGAATCTGCATTAAACATTAAAAATTAAGCACAGCAATAGTGTTGTTTATTGGCCTCCGTATTTTTTTAATACGCGGCGGAATATCTGGCCGAATACATGACAACCTTTACGCAGTCAAGGAAGATCCTGTCCAAATTTGGCTGAAATTGGCCACCAAATTCGGCAGATTTTAGCAAAATGACCACAGATGTAACAAAACTTGCCATATCTGTGTTTCCCACATTACACATAGTGTATGCTAGCCAAGCAAATAACAAAACCTGTCTTATCTTCAAGTAAACTTGAATCCTCCATCCTGATTGGTCGATCCATGGCAACAAGCCGTGCTACATATAACCATGTAGCACGGCCTCGGTCCATACCGCACTCCGCATATTGCGCTGTTCCAAGATGCGAGCGACATTCCAGCTGCATATGCTAAACTGCTGAATGTCCGTGTAAAGCGTGCTCGTTCCAACTGTACTGAGCGTCAAGTTCACTTGAAGATAAATTCGTTATCATGCTTGCGCTCGTGGAACACGGAAAATGTAGTGCGTCTGTGTCCCACATACCACTCGGCCTTTGGCCTCGTGGTATGTGGGACACAGACGCACTACATTATTCCGTGTTCCACTCGCGCTCGTGGGATAACTTATAATATCTACGTTTCTGACATTTCACATATTGCAAACGAATCATGCTGATAACAAAACTTGCCTTATCTCCTTTTCTGACATTGCACGTATTCCAAGCAAATCATGCCGATAACAAATCCTACCATATCTGTGTATCACATTGCACGTAGTGTATGCTAACCAAGTTTATCAAACAAAACTTGCCATAACTCCATTTCCTCGAATACACATAATGCATGCGAACTGGCATCGTACCAAGCCGATAACAAAACTGTGTTTCCTCGTTGCACATAGTGTTTGACAATCGGCTGACGAAATGACCCCTCTTGACCAATAGGTGACCATTGGCCAAATTCTGTGAACAACCCATATGAGGCTTGGTCCACAGAGGCAACTGACCAAGTTTGACACTAATTGGGTCAAGACTGTAGGAGAAGAAGCATTTTATATGTTTGAAGAAAGTGACCACTAGGTGACCATTAACCTCACATGCTGGTCACTTAAGATAGAACTCGGTTCAAGGAAGATCATGTCCAAATATGGCTGAAATCTGCCAAGGAATTTGGCAGATGTAGCACTTTATTTTTGGTCAAGCGACCGTTTGCCCGAAGAAAGAAAGAAAGAAACGCGATGATCACATTATATCAGCGTGCTTCGCACGGCTGATATAAATATCAAAATCTGTTTCTGAAGACATACCCTTTTTTGGCTGGTGATGGGAAATTAAGATATCTCTTTGGTTGAAACCGGTTTATGACATGATGACCTTAAAAATGTACTTTTCAAAGTCTTATATTTACAGAATTACAAGTCTGGCTAGGTTAAAACTTTGTAGCACATAGACAGGGACTTCATGTGAAAACTAAGGTCATGTCATGATGACAATAGCTTGTTATTGTCTATATAATTTTGATTCCCCCCCCCCATCTTATTAGTATATCTCGAGCATGTCAATTCTTTCAATCAAAAATTCTTCTTTTGTAGAAGGTTCGGTAGGTCATAGATATGCACAAAATTGCGAGAAATACGTGATGTTAATATAATTTCACCAAAATCATATAAGGGAAGGTGAGATCGCTATGAAACTTAGTTTGTAATTAATGTTATTAGTATGCAAAACACAAAGCGATATCAAGATGATTTGATGACTGATTGTTTTTGTGAATTTTCTTTTTAATTTCTATACAAAATTGACACTGTCTGTAATTGGATGGACTTTGAACTTGGTATCTAGAGACAAAGACAACCTAGTACAAGAGTGCATCAACAAGTGACGTCATGATGAGGCAAGACATGAGCTTAAATATGCATTACGGACAGAAAACATTTCTAATTTTTCCATCTTCTCACTAATTTTTATATAAATTAGCAAATTTTCTTTTCTTTTTTGTTTGCTTTGTAGAAGACTAAAATTCAAAATGTTTTCAATTCATGTCAAATAGCCAAGCACCTTCAAAATAATTCTCTGAAGATTTTGATTGATTCTTTCAGTTCAGCCTTAATAAAATTCCACACTACACAGTCTGTCTCTACCTGTTGTACTTTCTTCAGTGGTGCTCAGTACTGTAGTTGTCTCTTCAACTGTAGTTGACTCTGGAGTAGTTGTGTAAACAACAGTGGTTGTCACCTCCTCAGTAGTTGATGGTGCCTCAGTAGTTGATGGTACAGTTGAAGTAACGGTAGTACTCACAACAGTGGTTCTAGCTTCTGTTGTTGAGGCTTCTGTTTATGGTCAAGTTATACTATTTCAATGCTGATTCATTTAGAACAGGCTGTATCAACTTGAGAACAATCAACCATTTCACCTTGCATGTAAACTGTAGGCCTACCCTGTGCAGGGATATACTGTATTCATGTACATGGCCATGCATGTTGATATGTATATGTCTATATGTATATTAAAGATATAGTCCATCATTTGTAATTTGTGCATTTTGTTCGTTTGAAGCAACAAAAGTGCTCAAAATCTAATGAAGGATACTGAACAACTAACCTGATGAAGTTTCAGCTCAGCTTCAGCTGTATATTCCGAGAAAAACAGCATTCTACGATCTCAATTTCAAATCAAAAGTTGCTGAATCATGTTTTGAATTGTTTTGAATTGCAGCTATACGCGATGTCGCGCACTGATTTGACGAATTATAGCAACCGCGCGCGCCTGTGTGTCGTGCCAATGCTTGCGCGCGCTGCACCGAATAACAAAACGAACTACTAATTTAAATTTTCCTACGGTGCGTCTTAAGACGCACCGTTGGAAAGGCCTTCTTTCGTTGATTACTTCAAAATGATAGCTTGCCAGAAAGATTAATTTCACAGGGAGTTTAGTCCACTTACTATCTTTCAACCAAGTATGTTTCTCAACAATAATACGCCAGTTACCTTTTCGGATGGCTGAAAATGATGGACTATAGCTTTAAAGCATATGTAGATTGAACATGAATTAAACTTGAATGTCATCAGTAATTTGGAGAAAACATATGGAATGCTTGCAATTACTAGAGGACTTTTATCCTTGCTTTGTGGTCAATAAACAGATCAATTCACTCTCAGAAAGTGTGAGGCTAATTATTTCATGTGACATATGAACATTTTCTGCCCTTTGTCAACTTTTATAAACACCATTTTGGCAATTTGATATTGTTTGTTTACAAGTACATGTGTATTAAATCCCGACTGGATATATAACCCCTGAATTCCCTATTCATAGTTGTGAATTTATACTTTTTCAAGTAGCGTATTTTTAATTATCAACAATTAGGAAAGTCAGGTTTGCCAGGATACAACACTAAAAATCCTGTTTTGTAGGTGCTTGCTAAAGCGAGACGAATGGGAAGTAGGGGGTGCAGGATTCACATTATAACAATGACACAGAGAGAATCTGAAACAGTCTCTGTAACCAGTTGACCCTTAGGCTGCCAATGCAAAAGTATAAAAACTCTAACCTGTTGTAGACTCCACTGTGGTGACTTCCTTTGTGGTAGATTCAGGGGTAGTGGTCACAACTGTTGTTACCTCCTTGGTCGTTGAAGGTGGGGCAGTCGTTGAAGGTGGGGCAGTTGTTGAAGGTGGGGCAGTTGTTGAAGGTGGGGCAGTTGTTGAAGGTGGGGCAGTTGTTGAGGGAGCCTCAGTAGTTGTCACACGAGTAGTTGACTTCTCCGTTGTACTTGGAGGACCTATAAGATACAGTCCACAAAGTTTCAATTTGAGTTAGGTGAAAACAAAATAATCTTTTGCTCTTTGCTGATCTTTATTTCAATGAGTAACTTATATTCTATTCCACTATCCAGGTCTAAAAGAAAAAAACAACATGTCACAATGTATCCTTATCAAGATCATAATATATAACAAATCTTGAACCTTCAAATTCATGGAAGCACTTGGTAAAAGAGACTTATTGTTCTTCAATTACCTGTTGTACTTTCTTCAGTGGTGCTCAGTACTGTAGTTGTCTCTTCAACTGTAGTTGACTCTGGAGTAGTTGTGTACACAACAGTGGTTGTCACCTCCTCAGTAGTTGATGGTGCCTCAGTAGTTGATGGTACAGTAGAAGTAACGGTAGTACTCACAACAGTGGTTCTAGCCTCTGTCGTGGAGGCTTCTGTTATTGCACAATTGACAAAATGTTTGTCACTTTTAATAGTATAGTTTAAAAGCAATATAATATAGTAAAAGTATAATAAACATAAAATATAATAAGCTATTAATATTCACCATCTCCTTTCAGTGTTTTTTTGTTCATGAAAATTGTGGTACAGATCAATCCAGCAAATTCTTGTTATATTTTAGGCATTTCAGCACCCTTATTGAATGTTTTATCTTATAATGGATTAATATAATTTAAGCATCTGTATATAAATGTGCCGTAAAAATAAATGTCTGGGAAAGTATATTCAACCTTGAGGGCTAAGTAGCCCTTTGAGGGGTAAGTAGCCCTCAAAGTGCCAACAAATGTCAAGTCATTCAATCCTCAAACTTCCCCAAACAGCCCTAGCACTCTATAGTTTTATTGATTTATGGAGTAAACACAATGTAATACAATTTCATACAAGTGGTAAAGGGTTCCATTCCCTACTTGTACGGATATGCTCACAGCCAAACAGCTATGTGTTGACATGCTCAATAGGTGGAGGAACCTAGATTGTCAGCTGCTTGCCAAAGAGGGCATGTCAGGCTCCAAGACTCAAGCGGAATTCAAACTCACAAACCAGAAAACACGGAAAGAACAAAAACAGTCTGTCCAACCATTTCAACATCAGACCCAAATGCCACATGATGTCATATCTAACCTGTTGTAGACTGCATTGTGGTGACTTCCTTTGTGGTAGATTCAGGGGTAGTGGTCACAACTGTTGTTACCTCCTTGGTTGTTGAGGGTGGGGCAGTCGTTGAAGGTGGGGCAGTTGTTGAAGGTGGGGCAGTTGTTGAAGGGGCCTCTGTAGTTGTCACACGAGTAGTTGTCCTCTCTGTGGTACTTGGAGGAACTAGAAAAGCAACTTTGATTGTTTAAATTGTATTAAGTAAATCAAATATAGTTTGTTTTAAAGATCACAATTTCATTCATGCTTAGCACACATATTTTCACAGTGGCCATTTAGTTAGTGGGCATGTAAGGTACTTAGTTACACATAGCAACCAGTGAACTTAGGTTTCTACAATTTTCTACATGAGAATCATTTTTGTAAGTTGTGGTTCCCTCATGAATTAAGAGTCAAGGACCTCTTGCAGCCATTTTTCACATAGTGAATGAAATGCATTGGGAGGTTTTTGTGACAGGTGAGTTTTCTTTTGAGGTTATTTCTTTTGAGGTTATTTCTTTTGAGGTTATTTTTTCGCCATGTGCGTATTTGACATAGTACTACTTGTGTTTTTGTACAAAACCTGCCGTACATTAGCAAAAGTTGATCACATGTCAGTCAAGTCAATCACATGTCAATCACAAGCCAATCACAAGTAGATTACAAGTCCAACCACAAGTCATCCAGTCCCAAGTACCCAACAGCACCCTCCCTTATCCGGAAAAGCATGGCAAATTTTTAAATGTTTAACCCTAACTCCCTAGGCCTTTTTGCTAGGATGTAGCCTCAATCCTGCAAAGTCCTCCAATTGGCCCCATGGAAAAATAGCATATAGCCTCAATCCTGCAAATTCCTCCGTTATTTCTTGAATATGGTCCATGGAGGTATGACCACTGCCTGAATCCTGCAAAATCCTCCGGCTATGACTGTCAATAGGCTGAGGCAGAGGCAGTGACATCCTGGAGCAGTACGGAGGTTGTCAAGTATAATCAAGGACTAAATTTACGCACGGCTGAGCATAAACAACACAAGGTCTGGCCCAGGACCTTGACACGGTGCATCTTCCGAAATCAGCAACGCACTTTTGCCATGTAACCTCAATCCTGCAAATTCCTCCAATTTGCAAAAAGGATTTTGGAGAATTCAGGGCGGTTAGGGTTAAAGAAGTGCACTTTTCAACAAAATTAGCCGAAAAGGAATATCAATTAGTGTTCATACACTTAAGAGGATAAGAATCGCTTAAATAACTGGTTAGGAAAACCACAATTTTTTTTACAAGTTCCATCCAAAAATTAATTTTGAAATTGACAGTCAGTTGCAAAATGACTTTGACAGTCTCAAAAAGCTCAAGCAGTCTTTATTCTTTGGATTAACTCATCTAAAACAAGTCAGGTGTGTTTACAAATACAAATGCCCTGCAACCATGACTGTTTCCATGACATAACACCACTCTTTTAACATCAACTTACATGTACCTTGGTCACATGGAACATTCATTGACAGCATTAGTGTTTTCTGTAGGTTTTATATGAATTAATCCCTATATCTCAGAATAAATACAAGATTTCTATTGTTTCAGCCACTGTGACCTTGGCCCTTGACCTTTTGGCCCCAAATGCAATAGGCTTCTTCTTAGGACTGCCAAGGACAATCCACAAACCAAATTTGAAGTTCATATGTAAAGTATTTCTCAAGTTATTGCGCTGACAAAATTTCTTTGTTTTTGCCACTGTGACCTTGACCCTTGACCTTTCGGCCCCAAATGCAATAGGCTTCTTAGGATTACCAAGGACAATCCACAAACCAAATTTTAAGTTCATATGTAAAGTATTTCTCAAGTTATCGCGCTGAACAAAATTTCTTTAGTTTTTGCCACTGTGACCTTGACCTTTCAGCTCAAAATGCAATAGGCTTCTTAGGATTACCAAGAACAATACACAAACCAAATTTGAAGTTCATTATTTCTCATGTTATTGCGCTGTCAAAATTTCTTTTTTTTTTGCCACTGTGACCTTGACCCTTGACCTTTCGGCCCAAAATGCAATAGGCTTCTTAGGATTGCCAAGGACAATCCACAAACCAAATTTGAAGCTCACATGTAAAGTATTTCTCAAGTTATCACGCTGACAAAATTTCTATTGTTTTAGCCACTGTGACCTTGATCCTTCACCTTTTGGCCCCTAATGCAATAGGCTTCTTATGATTACCAAGAACAATACAAAAACCAAATCTGAAGTTCATATGTTAAGTATTTCTCAAGTTATCGCGCTGACAAGACTTATCCCGACACACATGCACACCTATCCACACAGTCGTGTTTTACTATACACCTGAGGACAATTAACCTATTGTGTTTCCCTTTGTCCCTCTAATTAACACTTTCCTATAGACTAAGCACATAACCGTGCGATCAAGGACCAGTTTTAACAATAGGCACCGTCGTCCGAGGATCAAAGGGCCCTTTGTGCTCCTTTTGTTGTCTGTCCTCGAGTGTAATACAATACAAGAGCACACACGCACACACACCCAGGTTTACGTTACATACCTTGTGTGGACATTCCTTTGTTTTCGTGTAGTTAAGAAAACCCGGTGCAAAAAATAACTTTACTTAAACTGTGAAAACTCTTTTAACCCAATTTTTTTCTATGATTCCCTATAGTGTTTCTCTTCATTCTGCTACGGATAAACCTAACCCAAAAATGCCTCTAAACCTGTTTTCCAGAAAGGGCAAAACGTTATGTGGACACGGCGTAGTCCACATTACGTTAACACAACCTGCATTATGTGGACATCTTTTGTTCACAAGTCCACATAGGGAATGTAAGACAAACTCACACGCTTACATAGGCATAGAAGTGGGGTACTTCCTTTGTTCTCGTGTAATAAATGTTGCAACGTCACACACTTATGTCAAAATGCACTTATTTTAACCATAGTTAATTTCCTGGGCTGAAATTCGGATAATATCCCTTTTTTAAAACTCTTCCATTTGCAACAGATCAACCCAACTAATTCCTAGTTTTTGAGTAAAATCCATATATCTATTTCGTGAAAAACTTGTGGGGTACCAAAACGGTACCTCGCAAGTCAGTGGGCATTCCTTGTGGGGTACCTCCCATTGTTCCGGTACCCCACAAGGTAGTGTTTTTACATGCACACTCATGCTTACATAGGCATAGAAGTGGGGTACTTTCTTTGTTCTCTTGTACTAAAATTTGCAACGTCACACACTTATGTCAAAATGCTCTCATTTTAACCATAGTTAATTTCCTGGGCTGAAATTCGGACTTAATATCCCTTTTGTAAAACTCTTCCATTTGCGACGGATCAACCCAACTTGGAAATTCCTAGTTTTTGAGTAAAATCCATTTATCTATTTCGTGATTTGTGGGGTACCAAAACGGTACCCCGCGAGTCGGTGGGCATTCCTTGTGGGGTACCTCCCATTGTTCTGGTACCCCACAAGGCAGTGTTTGTACACGCACGCACACACACACACCCCCGCGGGGCATAAAAATTGATCACGTTGATTAATATTGAAAAAAAATGTGACTTTTTGACCATGTGGAGTACTCTGAACAAATTGATAAGTGCCTTTTTGTTTTCTTACACAGAAAAACCCCCACAATGAACAGGGTTCTAAACTACACAACTACTGGAATTGGATCATGTAGGCATGGTAGGAAAGAATTTTGCAAATACATTTGGGCTTATTATTGAGATTGACATGATATTGAGACATGGTGTATGTACCATAGTCCCTTGGTGGAGCATTGAAGGTGTGATGGGACCATGCCATGGACACACTTGCAAATGGTGCAGACTTGCAATGGGTGTTGACTCGAAACCATACACAATAAACAAATTCTCCGCGCTGCTGAAATATGGGTATCAATACCGACAGAAGAATCACACTATACCATTGACCAAAAGCACAATGCGAGTAAGTATTCGCCCATATCTAGAATTGAATATTTTCAAATAGCGAGTCCAATGGTTATTCAGGACAACGAAAATATTAGTGATTTGAAAGTATGTTTTTCTCTTAAAATTGCATATGCATTGGAATTAGATGTATATGAAAATATTTCTGTGTCATTGAGTAGTGTTAGGACTGTCAATTTTTTTTCAATCAAAAATGATTTCGAAATAAAAATATATCACATTACAGAAACTGCAGTGGCTATATGTCCCACTGGGGACATTTTGCCATTTGATAGCCACATAAATTCTACAGTCTGTCTGTACCTGTTGTACTTTCTTCAGTGGTGCTCAGTACTGTAGTTGTCTCTTCAACAGTAGTTGACTCTGGAGTAGTTGTGTACACGACTGTGGTTGTCACCTCCTCAGTAGTTGATGGTGCCTCAGTAGTTGATGGTACAGTAGAAGTAACGGTAGTACTCACAACAGTGGTTCTAGCCTTGGTTGTTGAGGCTTCTGTTTATAGTATTGATGTCATAATAATGTTACATGTTGGTTTTTATTTTCAACACAAACAATTCAAATGAACACAATCTAGTTCACATTGCATATAATCTGGTGGCCTACCACTTCTGCTGCTAATAAACTTGATTAACTTTCTCCTCCAAAGTTTGATACAAGTTGTCATAGATGATGGCCCAATTTGACACTTTGTCGTCTACCTTCTTGTGAATTCTTTCTGTGTTAGTCATAATATATTATTAAATCCCTTGTACAGTCACATCTAATTCTCCAGACAGTCGTGGATATAACTGTTTGATAATCAAAATTTTCTAATGCATTGAAAATTGTTTTTACAAGTTCTGTTAGAACACTTGTAGACAATTTTTGCGTTTTTCACGAGTACAAGCAAAAAACCTAGCTCACCTGTTGAGGGTGCCTCTGTTGTTGAGGGTGCTTTGGTTGTAGTCACTGTGTTGTTTAAGAAAGCACAATAAAGTTTTGGTATATATATTATACTACCGTTTTGACTCATGGCCTAATGTAGTTTGACTAAGTTCCTCCAACGATGGACCATTGACGAAGGTCCTGCTAGGATTGAAATGGTTAGGCCGTTCACCTTTTATGATTTGTACGTTTCAGGTCAATCTAGTCAAGTAAGTAGTTTGCAGCAGGTTGACTCATTTTTTTCAACAGATATAAAAGCAGCCGAAATTCAGTCATCATTCACATTGCATTTATTTTCCAATACTGTAGATTAAGCTCCATTTTTTTTTATCATCCTTTTCATGTTTCCTTGATTCATTAAATTCTACAGCCGTTCCATCATTATACTTAAAAAGTAAAGAGAAAATAAGTGACTATAAAAATACCTCCGTGTTCACAACCGTTGAATATCACTTTGTAACCATCTGGGTTTGAGGTGATGATGCAAACTTTGAGTCCCGTCACCAACGCCATACTGGATGGTAGATAGATCTTTTGATCTGTTTTGCCAATAAAGATAGGAGAGCCAGCTTCATCTACTAGAGGTATGTATGGTTGCCTGTCACCTGGTTGAAATTTGAAGGAAACAGTTATGTCTCCCGGTGGGCCTTGTTCTGTCTTTATGATGACCGACGTGATTTCAACCCGTGGGCTGAAGGTAACCCCCAAACATGATCCATTGTGTGGTGATGTAACATCGTTGGGTGGGTTGCTAGGCCGCCACCATTCAGTCGGAGGTAATTCTTTGCCTGATTCTGGGTCTTCGCGTATTATCGTCACATTTGGCAATTTGTCAAGATCATCCGCACATACCTCTGGAGTAGTTGATGGTGGTGAAGTAGTTGACACTGATGTGATTCAAAATAAAAATGAAGGAAATAAAAAACATAAAGATGCATACCATTGAAAATGATGAAAAGATGATGAATGAGAGGTTTGCAGAAACACCATGTGGGAATAATTTTCTCAATAAGAGAATGGTTCTGAAAAGAACCAGAGGTATTTAGAGCCATTCTCTTAGTTTAAGAAGTTATTCCCACATGGTGTTTCCGCAAACCTTTCATTTATTAGAACCTCCACAAAGCAAAGCCTTAACTCTTACTTATGAAACAATTAGTTATTATTTCTGCTTCATTCTTGCCCCTTTCAGTGGTGTCACTGGGAGTCACAGGCTTTGAGTGGGCAGGGGGAATCCCCTTCCCCATACTCCCCTTTGTTACACTACTGGTCCTGTTAATTTTTTGTGAGTGTGATTTTATAAGCAGTAATTTTAATACAGGAATTTATAAAACATCTGTTTATAAAATATGAATCCAGTGTTTTGAATGGAGGTATAAATCTGAAACGACCTTACTAATGAAATCAGAATCATTTTTATACCAATTGTGGCCCAATGCACTGAAATAGTGAAATGGCAAGAGGTACCCAGCAGTAGAAAATTGGGGGAAAAACAAAGTTTGCGGGCCGCTAACCTAAAGCAGCATTGCAAAAAATCCAAACAGTTCAAGACTCAGGCCAAACATTACTGGAGCAATGCTGTAAGTAACTCAAACATTCCCTTTAACCATGCGACTATCAGAATCGAATGTCAGTCTATCCCACAACCTCTAACCTGTTGTGGACTCCACTGTAGTGACTTCCTTTGTGGTAGATTCAGGGGTAGTAGTCACAACTGTTGTTACCTCCTTGGTTGTTGAAGGTGGGGCAGTTGTTGAAGGTGGGGCAGTTGTTGAGGGTGGGGCAGTTGTTGAGGGTGGGGCAGTTGTTGAGGGTGGGGCAGTTGTTGAAGGTGGGGCAGTTGTTGAGGGAGCCTCAGTAGTTGTCACACGAGTAGTTGACTTCTCCGTTGTACTTGGAGGACCTAAAAGATACAGTTCACAAAGTTTTAATTGGAGTGGGGTTAAAAAAAAATAATCTTTTGCTCTTTTGCTCTTTACTGATCTTCATTTCAATGAGAAACTTATTTTCTATTCCACTGTAAAGGCCTAAAGGGAAACAAAAATTCCGATGTATTCCTTATTAGGGTCATAATGAGGGAATAAATGTGTGCTTGGCCGGTCTTAAACTCTCTGTGTAAGACCGGTTGGAGTCTGGACACTGATAATAACCCGAGCTGGATTACCAGACGCCAACTGGTCTTAAAGGGAAGATACAACAGTTGCGAACACCAAAAAATGAAATGATAAAAAAATCACAAAATATTTTACTGGATTGTAAGGGAATGACAGTCCAAAGCATCCTTTAAAATTGTGGCTCTAGGTGTGCTGACATTTTGAGGAAAACTTGACATTTGCAGGAAAACTGGCTTTTTTTCAAAAACTTTTTCTAAGTTTTCATATTTAGTTATTCCACATTTTCTTTGCAATTGATTACACACCTGTGAAGGGGTACAAGCCTGCTAGACTGATTCTCTGACTTTACAATTCCCCAAAGTATATAAATTGTTCCATTTCATCTTCAGTAGGGTCATGGAACCAGACTATAAGAAAATGGTTGGTTTTCTTGGATTTTCCAGCATCTCCGAACCCAAAACGTGAAGCAAGTCTGTTTAACAATACTTGCTATAACATACTAATCTTCCAAATTCATTTATTTCTGACAATTGAAGCAAATGTTGTACATTCCCTTGAAATAAAGTGTTTAATACCGGTCAAGTACATACTTATTCCCATTCATCAATACCTTTTCGGTCAAATAATCAAAACTTTTCAGTCCAAAAGGCAAAAGCGTTCAACAAGTTTACCTCATGTTTTTTGGGACACCCCTCAAGCATTATTATGGTATGTCCAGTCTCGTGAGTATTGTAAAAAAACTCCTTATAAATTACGGAGATTGGTGTGTGCATCACACGCACTAGCAATGTGGCACATAACGTAGCTGTGCCAGTGTATTGTAAATTTCGGACTACGAAATTCTGAACCACCGGTAGTATTACGCATGCCTATGTGAGCCAAATTGTGACCTTCAACCGATAAAACGGTAAAGCACCAGATTTCATAGGAGTCCAAATTTCATGTGACTAGTGTTTAACACCAGCCAGCCATGTCTTTATTAACCGTTGAAGACCAGCCACGTGACATACTCTCGACCAAGAGGAATGGGGTAAAACTGTCTTAAGTATTTAAGAATATAAATTACATCTTGCACCTTCAAAGGAAGCACTTGGTAAAAGAGAATTATAGGTCTTGAATTACCAGTTGTACTTTCTTCAGTGGTGCTCAGTACTGTAGTCGTCTCTTCAACTGTAGTTGACTCTGGAGTAGTTGTGTACACAACAGTGGTTGTCACCTCCTCAGTAGTTGATGGTGCCTCAGTAGTTGATGGTACAGTTGAAGTAACAGTAGTACTCACAACAGTGGTTCTAGCCTCTGTCGTGGAGGCTTCTGTTGTTGGGAAAATGATCAAGTGTTTTTCACTTGTAATCGTCAAAAGTATAAAAGACAAGTTTCTTGCATATATTAAGCTATTAATTTTACCAATTTCTTTTCGGTATGTTTTTTCCCTGGACGAATGTAATGCAGATCATTTCAGGGAGTTCTCCGAATATTCTAGGCATTTTCATTTCTTTATTGAATGTTTTATCTTCAGCATTTGTATATATAAACATGCCATAATATTATATGTCTGGGACAGCATGTATAACCCACTTAGCCAACAAATGTCAAGTCATTCAATCCTCAAACTTCCCCAAACAGCCCTAGCACTCAACAGTTTTATTGATTTATGGAGTAAATACAATGTAATACAATTTCATACAAGTGGTAAAGGGTTCCATTCCCTACTTGTACCGATATGCTCACAGCCAAACAGCTATGTGTTGACATGCTCAATAGGTGGAAAACCAAGATTGTCAGCTGCTTGCCAAAGAGGGCATGTCAGGCTCCAAGACTCAAGCGGAATTCAAACTCACAAACCAGAAAACACGGAAAGAACAAAAACAGTCTGTCCAACCATTCCAACATCAGACCCAAATGCCACATGATGTCATATCTAACCTGTTGTAGACTGCACTGTGGTGACTTCCTTTGTGGTAGATTCAGGGGTAGTGGTCACAACTGTTGTTACCTCCTTGGTCGTTGAAGGTGGGGCAGTTGTTGAAGGTGGGACAGTTGTTGAGGGTGGGGCAGTTGTTGAAGGTGGGGCAGTTGTTGAAGGTGGGGCAGTTGTTGAAGGTGGGGCAGTTGTTGAGGGTGGGGCAGTTGTTGAGGATGGGGCAGTTGTTGAGGGTGGGGCAGTTGTTGAAGGTGGGGCAGTTGTTGAGGGAGCCTCAGTAGTTGTCACACGAGTAGTTGACTTCTCAGTTGTACTTGGAGGACCTAAAAGATACAGTTTACAAAGTTTTAATTGGAGTGGGGTTAAAACAAAATAATCTTTTGCTCTTTTGCTCTCTACGGATCTTCATTTCAATGAGAAACTTATTTTCTATTCCATTGTAAAGGCCTAAAAGGAAACAAACATTCCTGATGTATTCCTTATTGGGGTCATAATGAGGGAATAAATGTGTGCTTGGCCGGTCTTAAACTCTCTGTGTAAGACCGGTTGGAGTCTGGACACTGATAATAACCCGAGCTGGATTACCAGACGCCAACTGGTCTTAAAGGGAAGATACAACAGTTGCGAACACCAAAAAATGAAATGATCAAATAATCACAAAATATTTTACTGGATTGTAAGGGAATGACAGTCCAAAGCATCCTTTAAAATTGTGGCTCTAGGTGTGCTGACATTTTGAGGAAAACTTGACATTTGCAGGAAAACTGGCTTTTTTTCAAAAACTTTTTCTAAGTTTTCATATTTAGTTATTCCACATTTTCTTTGCAATTGATTACACACCTGTGAAGGGGTACAAGCCTGCTAGACTGATTCTCTGACTTTACAATTCCCCAAAGTATATAAATTGTTCCATTTCATCTTCAGTAGGGTCATGGAACCAGACTATAAGAAAATGGTTGGTTTTCTTGGATTTTCCAGCATCTCCGAACCCAAAACGTGAAGCAAGTCTGTTTAACAATACTTGCTATAACATACTAATCTTCCAAATTCATTTATTTCTGACAATTGAAGCAAATGTTGTACATTCCCTTGAAATAAAGTGTTTAATACCGGTCAAGTACATACTTATTCCCATTCATCAATACCTTTTCGGTCAAATAATCAAAACTTTTCAGTCCAAAAGGCAAAAGTGTTCAACAAGTTTACCTCATGTTTTTTGGGACACCCCTCAAGCATTATTATGGTATGTCCAGTCTCGCGAGTGTTGTAAACAACTCCTTATAAATTACGGAGATTGGTGTGTGCATCACACGCACTAGCAATGTGGCACATAACGTAGCTGTGCCAGTGTATTGTAAATTTCGGACTACGAAATTCTGAACCACCGGTAGTATTATGCATGCCTATGTGAGCCAAATTGTGACCTTCAACCGATAAAACGGTAAAGCACCAGATTTCATAGGAGTCCAAATTTCATGTGACTAGTGTTTAACACCAGCCAGCCATGTCTTTATTAACCGTTGAAGACCAGCCACGTGACATACTCTCGACCAAGAGGAATGGGGTAAAACTGTCTTAAGTATTTAAGAATATAAATTACATCTTGCACCTTCAAAGGAAGCACTTGGTAAAAGAGAATTATAGGTCTTGAATTACCAGTTGTACTTTCTTCAGTGGTGCTCAGTACTGTAGTCGTCTCTTCAACTGTAGTTGACTCTGGAGTAGTTGTGTACACAACAGTGGTTGTCACCTCCTCAGTAGTTGATGGTGCCTCAGTAGTTGATGGTACAGTTGAAGTAACGGTAGTACTCACAACAGTGGTTCTAGCCTCTGTCGTGGAGGCTTCTGTTGTTGGGAAAATGATCAAGTGTTTTTCACTTGTAATCGTCAAAAGTATAAAAGACAAGTTTCTTGCATATATTAAGCTATTAATTTTACCAATTTCTTTTCGGTGTGTTTTTTCCCTGGACTATTGTAATGCAGATCATTTCAGGGAGTTCTCCGAATATTTTAGGTATTTTCATTTCTTTATTGAATGTTTTATCTTCAGCATTTGTATATATAAACATGCCATAATATTATATGTATGGGACAGCATGTATAACCCACTTAGCCAACAAATGTCAAGTCATTCAATCCTCAAACTTCCCCAAACAGCCCTAGCACTCAACAGTTTTATTGATTTATGGAGTAAATACAATGTAATACAATTTCATACAAGTGGTAAAGGGTTCCATTCCCTACTTGTACGGATATGCTCACAGCCAAACAGCTATGTGTTGACATGCTCAATAGGTGGAGAAACCTAGATTGTCAGCTGCTTGCCAAAGAGGGCATGTCAGGCTCCAAGACTCAAGCGGACTTCAAACTCACAAACCAGAAAACACGGAAAGAACAAAAACAGTCTGTCCAACCATTCCAACATCACACCCAAATGCCACATGATGTCATATCTAACCTGTTGTAGACTGCACTGTGGTGACTTCCTTTGTGGTAGATTCAGGGGTAGTGGTCACAACTGTTGTTACCTCCTTGGTCGTTGAAGGTGGGGTAGTTGTTGAAGGTGGGGCAGTTGTTGAGGGAGCCTCAGTAGTTGTCACACGAGTAGTTGACTTCTCAGTTGTACTTGGAGGACCTAAAAGATACAGTTCACAAAGTTTTAATTTGAGTGGGGTTAAAACAAAATAATCTTTTGCTCTTTTGCTCGCTACGGATCTTCATTTCAATGAGAAACTTATTTTCTATTCCATTGTAAAGGCCTAAAAGGAAACAAACATTCCTGATGTATTCCTTATTGGGGTCATAATGAGGGAATAAATGTGTGCTTGGCCGGTCTTAAACTCTCTGTGTAAGACCGGTTGGAGTCTGGACACTGATAATAACCCGAGCTGGATTACCAGACGCCAACTGGTCTTAAAGGGAAGATACAACAGTTGCGAACATCAAAAAAGAAACAATCAAATTATCAAAACATATTTCACTGGATTGTAAGGGAATGACAGTCCAAAGCATCCTTTAAAATTGTGGCTCCAGGTGTGCTGACATTTTCAGGAAAACTTGACATTTTAAGGAAAACTGTTTTTTTTTTCTCAAAAACTGCTTCTAAGTTTTCATATTTAGTTATTCCACATTTTCTTTGCAATTGATTACACACCTTTGAAGGGGTACAAGCCTGCTAGACTGATTCTCTGACTTTACAATTCCCCAAAGTATATAATTGTTCCATTTCATCTTCAGTAGGGTCATGGAACCAAACTATAAGAAAATGGTTGGTTTTCTTGGATTTTCCAGCATCTCCGAACCCAAAACGTGAAGTAAGTCAGTTTAACAATACTTGCTATAACATACTAATCTTCCAAATTCATTTATTTCTGACCACTGAAGCAAATGTTGTATATTCCCTTTAAACAAAGTGTTTAATACCAGTCAAGTACATATTTATTCCCATTCATCAATACCTTTTCGGTCAAATAAGCAAATCTTTTCAGTCCAAAAGGCAAAAGTGTTCAACAAGTTTACCTCATGTTTTTTGGGACACCCCTCAGCATTATTATGGTATGTCCAGTCTCGCGAGTGTTGTAAAAAAACTTTTTATAAATTACGGAGATTGGTGTGCGCATCACACGCACTGGCGATGTGGCGCATAACGCAGCTGTGCCAGTGTATTGTAAATTTCGGACTACGAAATTCTGAACCAGCAGCAGAACACCGCGAGCTGAGTGTTGATTGCGGAGGTGCACCAGTCTATGTGTGGACGACCTAGGATCGAGAAGATCTGACTTGCGATTCTCTTGTTCGATGACCACTCCGTGGGAATTATTTTGCCCCTGGAGAGAGAGTCCGCTATGTCGTTTTCCGCACCAGGAACGTGAATGACACGTAGATCTACTTTGTGTCTGGTTAGCCACTAACACATTTCCCAAGTCAGGTAGCACAGCTGGGGTGACCTTGTACCGCCCCATTTGTTAATATATGCTACCACTGTCGTGTAGTCGGTCTTGATTAAAACAGACCGGCCCACTGCGTCTGCTTGAAAGTGGTGTAAGGCGTTGACTGCAGCCTAAAGCTATAGAACATTGATATGTAGGGGGGAGGGGAGGCTCCCCAGCCCTCGTTGGAAGCGTCAGTGGAGATTATGGCGTGAGGATCCCCTCTGGGGAAACTCCATCTGCACCGAATGTTCTGTTCCAATGGCCACCACCGAAGGTGTGGCCAAATGACTTCGTCGATCGAGATTACTAGAGAGATTGGATCTGTCTCGGGTCAGTCATGTGCCAGAAGATGCATTTGCAAAGGACGCATCCTAAATCCGCACCAGGGGACCAGGTCCACTTAGCTGGCCATGATCCCTAGAAGTTTCAGCCAAGCTTGCGCTGGGGCGACTTGAACAGATAGGAAAAGTTTGACGCACTTCCGCAGGCTGGTAACGCGTTCCCCTGTGGGGACGGCTATGCCCCTGCGTAGATTGATCTCTGTTCCCAGAAAAGCGATTTCCTGGGACGGGATTAGTTGGGACTTCTTCTCCTTGATGATGAAGCCTAGCCTCGTTGTCAACGTATAAGTATCTCTCAAATTTTGAGCAGTTTCGTCTTTTGATTTTCCCACTATCAGTCAGTCATCGAGATCCATAAAAATCATTGTTTTCTCGACGAAGACATGATGCAACTGCCCGCACAACCCTGGTAAACACTCTTGACGAGGTTGATAACCCGAAGGGAAGGGCAGTGAATTCGTAAGTGCGCCCCTGAAACCGGAAACGTAGGAATCAGGAGTGCTCTTGGAAGATGGGGACATGTAGGTATGCGTCTTTCAGGTCTAAAGACGTCCCCCACGCTGGCGTGGGCAATGACTCTAGAACTACATGGAGTGTTTCCATTTGGAAACGCTTGGGTCTGACAAACCTATTGAGCAGTTTAAGCCAGCCACCTTCTTTGGTGTTAGAAAGAAGGACAGGAAGCCTATGAATTGTTCCATTGGTGGTACCAAGCGGACTGCTCTCTTCTCGATAAGGGATGATATCTCTTGTTCGAGAGCTAATCGTTTGTCTGTGTTTGTCGGAACTAGTGTTTTGCGAACACATATTTCCGACCAAGGGGTGCTTGTAGATTCTAGTTGATAGCCGTGGCTGACTATAGAAA